GGGATTGATCACCACCAAGAACATTATCGTTCAGGCTTTATCCTTCATTCTCAATAATTTTCGTAGATGTGGTGGTTCTGCTATGTTTTCATTTCCTTCTGTTCAGCATGTGTTGGACGCGACCCTATGTGACTGATCTTTTTAACTGCTGCACATTTCAGCGGCTACTTTCCAGCCTAATAATTCATCTTTCTGCCTTATTATTTTAGATGCCTTTCTTCTGCATACCAACCTTCAATCACTATCACAAATTCAGCCAAAAATATGTTTTTGGAGGTTTCATCATGTGCAAGTATGATACTTTTGTATAAATTGTGCTCAATCAGCCAACATATACTTGTCTCTTTTTTGGTGTATATCAGTCTTTTGTCTTCCAATTTTACTTCTAAACTCCCAATCCAACTGCTCTTCTAGATATATGATGCACTGCAAATACTTTCACAGCGACACGTTCTGTTCGTTGTCAGATTTTTCAGTTGGAGTGACGTCGCGCCACTTGTGTGTGATCTTTCCTGATCATAATACCTGGTAATCTTTGATTTTCCAATATTCAAAAAGTAGATCACAGATTGGTGGAGATATAAAAGGCTTTTTTATAAAGTCATTGTGCAATGTACGGAACGTGCACCACTGAATTTTTCACTTTTTCCCTATGAGTAGCCAGTTATTGCTCCTTTCTGCGAAGATTTATTGCATGCGTACTTTTCTCTTGCTTTTGTGAAGACATTGAACCTCTATTTCGATGGTTCATCTGCTTTACGTTTGACATATCGACGAATGCAGTCGGTAACGTCTCTCGTCCGCCGGCTTGCATTGAAGCACGTGGCGAAGCCAGTATGCTTTCTTTCGATAGCCTGGCGTGTAGAACGGCGTCTTGATGTTTAATCACTACAGTAGGCAGAAACATTGAATCTCCTGTTTTATTTATGAGATACTAGATGCCCTCAGCATTGACTTTTCGACTGCACGTTCATTTTCGCCAAGTAATCATTCATCTTCTTACGTAGCGACCAAGATTGCGGTGATAAGGGTGGTGCTTTGTAAAAAGAATGAGCATGAAATCGGCTTTTTTTCTTTTCCTCGATGCACTTAAATGCTCCAAAAGCCGTTCAATTCTGAGACTAGATTGTTCATCATATTGCTTTCAACCTAGGCCGTAACTGGCACATTCAAGATATTTATCAAATTAATGTCGAATAAAGTGTTCGCAACCAATTTGTTTTCTCATGATCATCGTTTTCGTAAAATTTAACCAAAAGCAATCCTCCCACAAGCGCTGTCGAAACCAGTCAACGTTTGCTCCACCTGGCAGGTGCTTTGTGTTATAGTAAGAATGCCGCCCTATCAAGCCCTCTCCTCCACCGGTAGCAATAACGCTTCAAATGGTGATTTTCAAATTGTCTACTCATTATAGCTCGCGAACAATCCTTATACGCTGAGCATGGATGCTTAGATGCCCAGACCTGTATGACTGTCTCTATCTCAATTGGACTGAAAACCATTTCAAAATTGGTAAAAGTGGGACAGGGTGATCTCTTGTACCCTCGCAAAACTTTGATGAGTGTTCTCATCGTGTGGATGTGGCCTATAGTACAAAATCCTTTTTGAAATCCTGCCTGTTTCCGATAGCTGTCTATCACTCCGTTTTTTTTTCAACCCTGTTAAGCCTTTGTTTCTAGTGTTCCATCGAGACCACGCTTAAATTTCAATGTATCTTATAATTAATATTTCAACCATCATGTCATGGGGTGGTAATGGGCTCTTGTACAGCTCGATACACGTGTTCCGATGTTACAGTCTCGTCAGTCGGGCAGAACCCGCCGTCTTCTAGTCTTTTCAGCCAATCTTGTCGTGAGCCCCTGCTCTCTCTATAAAGAGGTAGCGACGACGAACGATTTAGACTGTAAGTCAAGTGTAATTATTACCAAAACTACAGTGTTTTACACTCGATTGCTCTTTGGCACGTATTTTTATGATATTATAATTGTATTTCATGTGTTTTATTAAGATCACGCCTCAAATTTCAATGTATCCAATTTTATTATTTGAGCCAACATATCAGTAGTCTGACAATGGGCTCTTGTGCAGCCCGATACAAGTGCTTCGACCTTACAGAGAAATACTTCCTTTTTATATTTGGTTAGCAGCCCGCTTTCACTGGTAGGGTGACCCCTAACAGAGTTTGCATTCATCTCTCCCCCATGCGACCGCAGCACGCGGTGGAGTTGTTTTGAATATGGTGTCGTACGCGTCAAAAAATGCGTTTTTCCCAAATGGCTGAAACAGATTTAAGATAACGAAAATCTACCTTGCGAAGAGTAATTTTACTGAAGAAGTACATATTTTTGACCAATAGTTTGCATAATCTCGGTATTTCATGCCTACGCATCTGGTGGAAATTTCACGACATCAATGTGTTAGCAAATCTATATATCGCTGATATTCAAATGATCTCTAAATATTTACTTGAGCATAGTAAAGCATGCAATATCTTCGACTAAGAACGTGATCACATCCTGCAAAGAGTTGGCCTCTCTTATGTACAATTATAAAGTCTTTCAATAATAATATATACAGAGCACTTCTGAAACATGATCAACAGCCATTATCAGTTGCGTTACAATATACACACTCCCAAACAATGCAGATGTGCATTGCAGAAAGTACATTTCTTATTATCTCTATTTTTTTACAATATACTTAACTAATATTGCTGCAAAAGTAATATCAACATGATCTGAGTTTGATGCAACAGCTGATCCAAACATTTCTTCAAATATTAGATTTCGTTTGTTCAGAAGAACAGATGTGTGAAACTAAACTGTAAATAAAAGTTGGTATGCTGATAAAATGAAAAAAGGGAAAATATGCATTACTTGCAATGATTGTCCCTCCAAGCTCTAAATTCTTCCACTATTTAAGTTCCCGACTTTCCTCACATGCAGACTCTTATCTACTGGAAATAATCGAACGACTGGTACTAAACGTAGTTATAGTTAAAGTTATCAATGAACTGTTATCTCATACATTTTTGATAAATTACTCATTGTTCCTCCAATTTTTGCTGACTATGGCAACTCTGGGGTCTTGTATAAAACTAAGAAACAACAAAACTGAAGATTTTCAATGTGATGTCCTTTGTCCAATTCAATATAATTGATTCATTGTCAAATTCAGTATGACCTCATAGTAGACTAGAGTTCCTCTCTATACAAGGCTCTTATATCTGGAGCAAGATCATATTGTATCAAAAGAATACAATATTTCTCAAAATTTTCGTAAAACCGGTAAAATAACTTCAATCAAACGACGAAAATCGGGCACCGCTGCGCAATTACCTCTGTGCGCATCGATTTCTACAGCTGTCCCTAAGGGGAGAAGGGGAGCAAAAATCGGCTCCCTCTGAAGAAGTTTTTACAGTTCATATAGGATTCTTTGATTTTGCTTTTTTCATAGCTGGACGTTGGTTCGGTGACGAGGATTGTCATAACCACTAGTATTCACATCGTCTTGATAGTGAGGCGTCGAATCGTGCGCTTGCTCTTTGAAAGAAATGATGTTTCTCGGCCAAACTCGAGTAGAATGCCTATGTCGTCGACTCGTCCAAATGCTCCATTCGTGCGGCATCCTATAAGCCTTCATTATTAGTCCTCAACTGACACTCTAACGCAACTGAACTTGTATTGTATACATGAATTATTATCTTGACCCCCTCAAATCTGATCGTCTAAAATTGCTCTAAGATTTCATCCACCTCTCTGTACTCGTCCTAGCCAACACTGCCGAATTGGTGATTTTGGGAGGTTTAGAATACAAGGGCCACATGCATCACATTAAGTCCTTGACAAGTCGAGCTAATTCAAAGTGATAGTCAAGAAAAGTCATTATAAGTGGGGAAGTCGCCGGCTTGACTATGGAGCAGATAAAAAGAAAGAGAGGAAAAAAAGATAAATCATAGAAACATGATGAAGACGCAAAATGTTCCTTTTGTCTTCGTAACTTCTAGAATAAGAGTTCAAAAAAAACAAAGCAATATCTCTGACTCTTTACGCAAAAGAAAAACTAAAGGACTCGCTAATTTAATAAGATTGACATTTGTTAGACTTATTGATGGGAACTCAATTTTAGTTTATTCAATCAGAAAAAAGTTATCCATTCAACAGACACTTCTCTCATAATGAGCTTTATCAATGAACATAGACTACCAAGGATTTATGAGTCTTCAATAACAATAAGTGTTCTTTATTTGACTACGACAAAAGAGGGCTGTTTAAAGCTGACGACTTTATTTGATTATTCTACAACTTTATGAATCTATTGAATAATCTTTACTTCTAGTTCAAACACAGTCGAAGGCACTCACTACCTCAACAAGTGAATCTGAGGTTCAGGGAGGATATTATCTATCACAGCAAATGCTAACGGAGTCTTCAAATCTTTGTTAATAGAAGAAAAGCTTCTCATTTTCATAGCAAAAAAATAGGTTTTTCATGAAGCCTCCAACTTTGAGTGAAGTTTTTTGAAGGCATATTTTCATGTTAACAACTTTGCAAGTTCTATTAATGTCGAAAATTATAGCGAGTTGGTTATAAGGAAATGGTCACAATTAGTCATGTAGAACACAAAAGTTCCAACATAGCTCGTAATTATTATTTGAGCTAACATGTCATGTGGTCAAAGACTGACTGGTAAAAGACGAGAGGTGCCACCCGACTGATTAGATCGTCAAGGGCGAAACACGTGTATCGGGCTCTATAAGTCAGCTCATTTGACAGAACCACATGACATGTTGATTCAATTAATAATTACGAGATATGTCAGAATTCTGTCTATTTGACTGCCACTTGCAGTGGTATGATGTTATGGTGTATCCAACAATGTGGAGTGTTGTGCCAAAAACATTTACGTCAGCAGGGATTTGAACCCAGATCTCAACCTTTACGGTTGGCTGTTGGCAGACAACGCGTTATAGCGTAAAAAAAGAGTGCTGTACAAAACGAACGTCGGTGGTGCAAACGTTCTGCATGCACTCCCGGAAAGAGTGAGATCTGGGTTTGAATCCTGGCTGACGCAAATTACGAAATATGTTGAAATTTGAGCGTTGTCCTAAGAAAAACACTCGAAGCGAAGGTATGATGTACAGGTTTCAATTTTTGGGCAGTGATCATTTTTTTCATAACCGGCAATAATGTTCTTGAAATTTATGTAAGTATAA